TATATATATATATATATATATATATATATATATATATATATATATATATATATATATATATGTATATATACTCAAAGAGTTAACTGTGACAATTCAGGTATGTTTCTGAGGTTTCTCTTATAAACCTTAAATCCACATGGCAAACACAATTCTACTTTCACGTGTCAAACACACGTCTACTTTCACATGTCAAACACAGTTCTACTTTCACGTTCCTGGCTCGAATTTAGACATTTTTAGTTTATCAGGTTTTCTCTGGAAGACGCGCAGACGAACATTTGTCATTATAACCAGTAGCCCCGATCGAATGTATGATGAGCTGAACAAATGTGTTATTATACGCTGTCATATGAAAATTTGAAATACCCAGACACCTGTTGCGGACGTAATGTACAGTAGTATTTCTCCAAAACGAAGGGACGTTTCGTTTAACAGTTACATGTTTTTCTTGAATCATATCAAAGCATTAAATTCTTTGGCCTTTCATGTCATTTCGTCATGCCGAAATTGCACTCATAATAAGCCTTGTTGAAGCGCGAGGGATACAGTGGACACATGTTATATGAGATTTCAGGTTCATCGAACTGTCTTGTTGCTTCATTGCTAGCCCTAAAGGACGTTTTAAACCTTGCACAAGAATGCATGTGGCAGAAACCTAAATCTCAAGCGCCAGCATAAGGATCGTGGTTCACAAATGCACCTTTGGGAGTCAACGCTCTTGGTAACAAGATAAAACCATCTCTGAGAAAGCTGGCTGCTCTTTGATATATACAAACCACAGTTTAAGGGCCACAACTGTCACTGTTCTCGATGAAGAATAAGTCTGAGTCATCCCTCAAGCATTATGTTCGTACTAGCAATGCCAAGAAGCAAGACATGTGTATCACCATTTCATCTCAAATGCAGGAAAATATTCCAGTGGCTAGGGAGAAAACTGCTGAAAGTATTGTTGACGATCTAGTATTAACAGACACACAAGATGATCTCGTGTGGTGCATGATCTCGTGTGGTTGAGTGGAAGTGTCAGATAAAGGCGATGGGAAAGCAACAACAAAAAACAAAATCAAACAAACAAAACCCACCTGTTTGCCCTTTAAATAAAAACTTCGATCCCTTGGAGTTTGTTGTTCGCTGTTGCATTAGCAAGCAACATGCAAAACCAAGATGTGCTATGAGTAGAGAGCTACGTTTGTGTTCCTTGCGTGAGGAACCAGTTATTTAATATTGATAGGCCCCGTCGCTAACCACAAACTCTATATACTATTGTCTGACCGCATGAGGGGCAATCTTCGTATTGGTTATCTTTTTCATGTCAAAGATTCCAAAGGCTGGATTGTCAACCAACCTTTCATGGGTTCGGCCGTCGTCACTCGTCTTAAAAAATATCTCCCGGATCTACATCCGAACCATGGGAAAAGTGGGATACGACGCATAGTTTCCACCCCGGATGCTCGATTACTCTTTCACTATTGGGTGCTTCAGTAAACGGAGTTACGCATTATTAATAGCGTTCAGCAAAGTGCTAGACCATTCAAATTCTAATAACAATAGATTACTTCAATACAGGGTGTATAAAAAAAACGCAACGTTGGAATTTCCCAAGAAATCGACATTGTTTTAAGGACAAAGATTTTATGTGCCTGGGAATTTAAAATATCACAACTGTCAAAATTACTGCACACGCGAGTGCATAAATTACTGCACACGCGAGTGCATAAAGCAAAATTTTATGCATTTATTTAATGACACTAAATAAGTTTTTATTTTACAAGTACAGTACAACAAGAGTAATATGATCTATTGGCAATTCGATTTCAATTCGCGGGGACCTAAAATCTTTTATGCTTAAGAATTGAAAAGTGGAATTCTTAGGAAATTCCAAGGTTACGTTTCACTTCCGAGTAGCGGGCGGAGGTATGCAGTCTCTGAGCGCCCTCTAGTTAGGTATGTTATTATAATTTTAATTTAAGATAAGATCAACCACAAACGCTTCGCAAATCGTTTTAAAGTGTTCTTCTGATATTGCAAAAATGAAATATATTTGCAAGAAATCATCAAATGAAGAAATGTTTGCTATTTCGCTGTCTTCATGCAATCAATATAATCCAAATTTTAGATTGGGCCAATCATTGATTAACGTTAGACTTCACTAATGCTTTTCTTTCCCTTCCCCCGTGAGTAAATAGCCAGGCGGAATTAATACCCTCGCAAGCCGCTCCGTGCCGTTGGCTCGGAGATAAATTTAAACTGTAATAAAACTAATACCCTTGCCTGCGTAGGATTAAGACAAATTCTGAGAGGTCGAACAAAATTCAGTCCATCTTTTTCATAAAAAACATGACATAACTCACAACCCCCTTAGAAGTCCGCCATTTACAGCCACACAGAACGATGCTCGCGCATGTGCAGACAAAATGTGCCTATATTAATAATAATAATAATAATAATAATAATAATAATAATAATAATAATAATAATAATAATAATAATAATAATAATAATAATAATTATAATAATAATAATAATAATAACCAAAAGAGAATATTTTTTGTTCGCTTTTAACTCATGAGTACTATACAACGAAGTATACCCTTAAAATTATGTTAGTTTATAGCATTTGCCTTACTTGTTTACGCGACGGACTAACTTTAAAAGAAGCCGGACTAATTTCAATGGTATAATCATGCGGTATATTTTGAAGTTAAACGATTGCAATTTTCACATAAAGTATATCTAATAACCTCCAAAGCACGAATTATAAAACGTTTGTAATAAGTATGCAAGGTTTTGTAAGTTCAAGCCCAACTATTGCTTATCTTTTTGCTTGCCTTTTAATAAAATTATGTCAGTTTAGCATTTGCCAAAAGTTTTTACGATACGGGCTAACTTTAAAAGAAGCCGGGCTCATTTCAATAGACGCCGGGCTCATTTCAATGGAAGCCGGGCTCATTTCAATAGAGGACGGGCTCATTTCAATGGAAGCCGGGCTCATTTCAATAGAATCTTCTGGAGAGCATGATGTAATTTTTCACGTTTAACGTTTGCAATTTTTACTTGAAGTATATCTAATAACCTCTAAAGCACGAATTATAAAAGGTTTGAAATAAGTGTGCATGGTTTTGTAAGTTCAAGCCCAACTATTGCTTATATTTTTGCTTGCCTTTTAATAAAATTATGTCACTTTAGCATTTGCCTATACTTTTTCACAAAACGGGCTAACTTTAAAAGAAGCCGTGCTAATTTCAATAGACGCCGTGCTAATTTCAATGGAAGCCGGGCTAATTTCAATAGAGGACGGGCTAATTTCAATGGAAGCCGGGCTAATTTCAATGGAATCTTCAGGAGAGCATGATGTAATTTCTCAAGATAAACGATTGCAATTTTTACTTGAAGTATATCTAATAGCCTCTAAAGCACGAATTATAGGACGTTTGAAATAAGTGTGCAAGGTTTTGAAATAGCCTCGAAAGCACGAATTATAGAACGTTTGAAATAAGTGTGTAAGATTTTGTAAGTTCAAGCCCAACTATTGCTTATATTTTTTATTGCCTTTTTATAAAATTATTACAAACGCTGTAATTTGTACTGTAATTCGTGCTTTAAAGGTTATTAGATATTTCAAGTAAATATTGCAATATATCATTTAACTTCCAAATATACATCATGCTCTCCTGAGGATTCTATTGAAATTAGCCTGTCCTCTATTGAAATTAGCCTGGCTTCCATTGAAATTAGCCCGGCGTCTATTGAAATTAGCCCGGCTTCTTTTAAAGTTAGCCCGTTTCGAAAAAAAGTATAGCCAAATGCTAAACTGACATAATTTTATTAAAAGGCAAGCAAAAAGATGCGCAATATTGTTGGGCTTGAACTTACAGAACCTGGCAAACACTGTAATTCGTGCTTTAGAGGTTATTGGATATAATTCTTGTAAAAATTGCAGTCGTTTAACTTGAAATATTAATACCGCATGATTAATCTATTGAAATTAGCCCGGCTTCTTTTAAAGTTAGCCCGTTTCGTAAAAAAGTATAGGCAAATGCTAAACTGACATAATTTTATAAAAAAGCAAGCAAAAAGATAAGTAATAGTTGGGCTTGAACTTACAAAACCTTGCACACTTATTTCAAACGTTCTATAATTCGTGCTTTAGACTACGTGCACACGGTAACGTTTTCGAGCGTTTTCATTTGCGTTTTCACGCTAAAACGGATGCGAAAACTATTAATTTACGACTGAAGCTGTAGTTTATTTAATATATTGGAGATATTTTCCTTTGAACCACGTGAACAGGGCATCAAAGCGATTAAAGGGACCAAAACGTTTTTGAAAACGCTCGAAAACGACGCCCGTGTGCACATAGCCTTAGAGGTTATTAGATATACTTCAAGTAAAAATTGCAATCGTCAAACTTGAGAAATTGCATCATGCTCTCCTGAAGATTCTATTGAAATTAGCCCGGCGTCCATTGAAATTAGCCCGTCCTCTATTGAAATTAGCCCGGCTTCCATTGAAATGAGCCCGGTGGCGTCTATTGAAATTAGCCCGGCTTCTTTTAAAGTTAGCCTGGCGTCTGCATGAAGCTTACTTGCTTAAATAAAAAGTATAGAAGGTTGTTGTTAAGACGAACATAATTGACTTTACTATTATGTTAAAGTATTTCACTGCATCCTATATGCATGACACTCCATAGAATTGATCGTGCCGTTGCATTATGTTAATTACAGCAAGTTATGTATATATAAGGAGTCACAAAATCTGTTTGATGCTAACTGTTTGCTTCCCGACGATTGGCATGCCTCGTCAACGTATTCACGTCGACTGGAAAACTGTTGAAGGGGCATTTAGTAAACCTCGAAGACTTCACTTAGAAAATGATAAAGAAGGTCTTTTCCACTGCCCTGCACTTGGCTGCGAACATGATGGTTTCGCGAGTCAACGAGGCTGTCGAAAGCACGTCAAAACAAAACATTCGTGGTATATATATTTTGACACGAAGCCCATAATTTCTGCCGAGAGCGAACGAAAACTTGATGTGAATCAGTCCTGTTCGTCGGAAAGCAAACCAACGCTGCCGTGTTGTGCTACAATTTCACAATTGGCACGATTATTTTCTTCATGGCTACAAAGCACGACAGGTGGCGGAAGGCAAGGGAAACATGCTGAAATCTCGGTAACTCGAGCATTTAAATTCTTGAAGTATTGTTGTGAACAATCGGGCGAGGATGAACAAAACCTGTCGTCGAATGTCCAACTTGTTGATTACTTTTTGTGTTCTTCCAAATTTCTAACAGATTTTCTTGATCACTTCGAAAGCACCTGGCAAATGGGTCAATCTGGTCTACTCGGCTACGTAAACAGTATCGCTGACCTCTTAGATTTCCGTCGATTCCATGCACCTTCAGGGCCCGTACTTCAAAATTTTTCCATTACCGAAGTATACATAAAACGTGCAAGGCAATGCTTAGCAAAGCAGATGCGTTCTCATTGGACGACAGACTTAGATATTGCAAGCCTCGAATCACGAAAAGAAGTTGGGCTACGCTTGCTGAACTTCAGACAGTAATTCCCTTTCATTTACAACGCTACAAAACAATTCTAGAAGAGTGCAGGAAAAAATCTTTTGTCACTTCAACCGACTTGACTTTTGCTACAAGATTTGTTGCCGTCTTTATGTTTGTCAGAGTGAAAGGATGCCGACCGATGACCTACCAGCATTTGACAGTCCGTATGTTTGAAAGCGCAAAAACAAACGCTGGAATGGTCGATCAAACCATTTTTAAAACGGCGCAAATATAAGGGTTCAATTCTCTTTACTTCGACGAGATGAGCTGGGTAATTGTCAATGATTACGTTCAATACGTGCGACCCCTGCTGAAACCACAATGTGAATATTTGCTAGTAAATCGAAGCTATAGTCAATTTCAGAAGCTCACTGAGTTACTTAGCGTTCTCGTGTTTGAAGCGATAGGCAAGTACATTCACCCGACGAGGTACAGGCAGATTATCGAAACGGAGAGCGTAAACAATTTAGATTTGGAAGAACAACAATTGATATCCGAGGACCAAAAACATAGCTCAAACGTGGCGAGAGTTCACTATCAGAAGCTGCGGTCTCGGGAAGTAGCGTTAAAGGGACGATCATGCATGGAAAAGCTGCGCGGGGACCATGGCAGAGCAATGGACATTTGCGTACAGCAATTGAGACAGCAAGATTCCAACGCGGGAATTGAAGTGAAAGACATGGAAACCGAAGGCGATGGTGAGACGGCGTCATCTCATACAAGCGAAGGGGAGATTGAAAACAACGATGAAACGCTACGAAAAAGCATGGTTAAAGTCAGGTTTACACAAGAGGAGGACAATTATCTTAGAAAAGGGATAGTAAAGTTTGGTATGCGCTGGACTGCAATTTTAAACTGCCCGCTGTACAAGTTTGAACAATCCAGAGCACCGACAACATTACGAATGCGTGCGACAACACTTAAATTAATATAGACTCGAACTGTAGTTGTTAAAATTATATAAGCTTATTATTGTTAACAGAACTGTGTATGAAAAAAAATTCAACAGCTTGAGTGTATTTGAATGTGTTCTTCTATTAAAAACATTGTGCGCACTTATATGACACTAGCGACATATTGTGTGGAAAATATAAGTTGTGAGACAACATAAATCAGGGGGAAAATTTCATGAAAATGCTTCTAGGCAAGCTTTCTGCAAATTAAACAAACACTGTCTTTATATTGATCAAAAACTTCTATTTGTAATACAAAAGAGCAGATGCATGCATATACCCACAAAATATTTTGCAATATACGTATTTGTACAAGCATCTATATTTATGTAATAAGAGTGTGTGTATAATATGTCTGGATATTATCTTGTGCATTTATGAAAACCTTATAGCCGCGTTTAGCTCTGAATGTTAGACAAATTGATATAGCGCGAATAAATATTATTTAAATTATCAACTAATTAAACTATACGAAGTTGTGTGCTCTCGATCGGAACGATTGTTGCTGATGTCGCAACATATAATTGTGAAAGGGGGATTTCCCTTTTTTCATTACAACGATTCGGTCTCCGAGGCGATCCGATATTTACGGAACAAACCGATCCTATTCCAAAGCAGATCCTAAAAATTAAGGGAACCGATTGAAATTTACAGGTAAAAATTAAGGGAACCGATGATTCTCATTCAATTGTGTGATGACATGAAACAGATCAAACGACATTGTTGAACAATATCAAGCGGACTATTCGTTCGTTTATATAAAGTAAATTAACTCGCCGTTCTTATTCAACCGTTCCTTCAATATAAAGGAACAAGTGACTGAAGTTCCCATACGTAAAGTGAACGGATTTTTCTCATTCAACCGTTCCTTAATATAAAGGAACAACTGACTGAAGTTCCCATACGTAAAGTGAACAGATTGTTCTCGTTCAACCGTTCCTTAATATAAAGGAACAACTGACTGAAGTTCCTATACGTAAAGTGAACAGATTGTTCTCATTGAACCGTTCCTTAATATAAAGGAACAACTGACTGAAGTTCCTTTATATAAAGTGAACAGATTGTTCTCATTCAAATGTTCCTTAACTGTAGGAACAAAATGACCGAAGTTCCTTAACACAAGCAGTACATAACGTTCTTATATTACAAGTACCTAACATCAAAACAAACAGTTCCTTATATTAAAACATAAACACAAAAGTACTTTGTTTTCAAAATACCGTTGCCTTTGTGGCTTGCTTAATGGTGGAAAACACTGCCAGGCGAATTGGTCAAATGGTCGACAATTTCGTACATAAACACACAACATAGGGCAACAACTGAATAAAGGAAAAGACAATTGAGAACAGAATATAAGGAAATGCTAATAATAATAATAATAATAATAATAATAATAATAATAAAAATAATAATGATGATGATGATGATAAAAGTCTTTATCCCCGAGCCGACGGCGCGAAGCGCCGTGCGAGGGTACTAATTCCCCCCGGCTATTTACAGCCGGGGAAACGAAAGCATCAGCGAAGTCTAAAGTTCATCAATTATCGCGGGCGACGGTCACCAACGGTGTTCGAGTGTTGGGTGTGTGGTCATCCTCACTGATCTCAAAAATATGGCGAACTGTCATGAATAGCGGACACTGATTGGTCCAATTTAAAGTTTGCATTATAACGACTGCACGACGACAGCGAAATAGCAAACATTTCTTCATTTCTTGATTTGATGATTGATAAATTTCTTGCAAATATATTTTATTTTTGCTCGCATTTTGGCAAGATTTTGTAAATATCAAAAGGTTTCTCAGAAGGAAAGGGCGAAAGAATCGGCTAAAAGAAGGGAGCCGACGTTAACGAAGGTAAGTTTGTTTTAAATATTGATTTTATAATGACTTTAAAACCCGACGGCCTTTGCGTATATGAAATAACTATTACAAGACAGCATATAATTTCAGTGTATCTTTAATAATATTGATTCCCTGTTTCATTATATTGAATTTTTTAAATAAAAAAGAAAGCAAAGTCATTTGCAAGCGAGAATTTGAAATCATTTTATTGCAAACTCAAAGTTTATCGATAAAGCCATTAAATTAAAGGCAGTTTAGTTTTATAAAGAACACTTTAAAACGTTTTGCGAAGCGTTTGTGGTTGAATTTTACCTTAAATTGAAGCTTTATATTACGTATAATAACACCTCTAATATATATATATGTTAGGAAATTGATCATTTTGTCATTAAAAGTGATATTTTTAGGCGATTTTTCATTTGTAAGAATATTCTTAAAAATTATCGTGTTACCATGACAACTACTTTAGATACTTCACGTTCGGAAAATACAATGGTTTTGTCAGCAGGGCGAGGGTTTCTGCATGCATATGTATTTTCTAGTTGGATACTCAAAACACACGTTTGAGTTTACATTGAATTACGCCTTCTATAAAGCGAATCTATTTATATTACATTATTTAATTTAATTATAGTAGCGTAGCCAGCCCGACGATTTAGTTCCGCTATGCAAATATTTTCGTGTTCATTCATTAGGGATACATTAAATATTTCTGTTATGGCTGTGGTCATCTCAGTGAGTGCCAGCGAGGGACCACCCTATTCATGACGCACGTTGTTTTCGTTACCAGTCCCCAAGCCCCGAGTTTAGTTGTCTTATGTGCTTGAATTTTGAGTCGAGTTGTATGCCCGCATTCAGAGGAGTTATGGAAATTAATGAAGTACCAAGTTGTGGTTGTCTACCGTCGATATGTACGGATATTGATAATACAAAAATATAACTTATATGGTCGTTCATCAATCTTCATTTAGCTACTGCAATTTATTAATATTGGTAAGAAACAAAATAGAAACGACATATTTTGAATAAATCTGGTAAGAATGGCTTTATTTCTTTCCGGTGATATGCAAACATGAAGGCATTTATATTTAGATCTGGGGCCGGTTTTTCAAAGCTGGATTAACGCTTAACCTGCTGTTTCTTTACTCTATATCTACACATCTGTTTATTTCAGAATTTCAGAAAAAAAAATTCTAATTTATCCACACATGATTTCAGAAGAAGTATTTTGCCAAGGTGTTGCACAGTTTTTTTTAACTAATTAAGTTAACCTAGGGTTTAGCTAACCTGCTTTTGAACAACCTGCTCCTGCTGTTTAACAGTGTTCGATATAGAGGTGCTGAAACAATACGATTTCATAAATTTATCCGCAGTCTTAATAGCCCACTGTCATTGATCTATTCGTCAATAATATCTTGTTTTTACAAGGAGTGAAAATGTACTTTTAGTTTGTTTGTTTGTTTGTCGGCGATCGATGCGCCAACGAATGAGTTCATAGTGCTCATTCTAGATGTTTTTAGCAATGTGCTATGAGCAAGTCTAAAAATTAATATTCTGGCTTAAGATTCCTATATCAACCTATAAGATTCATATAGCAACCCACTACTGTGGATTGTTGTCTTCATATATTAACTTACCAGCAGTTAATACACGTAATAGCATGTGAACCGACTTTTCACAAGGTATGATGGTTTGTTCATATATCTGAGATATGTCCATTGTTAGCATACCGGCCTACTAATTTATTCGCCTGGCTGTGTCACTACATTCCATACTTATCGATAATGTTCACAATTTCATTTTTTACTATATAGTTTTGCAGTTCTGACTGAGTACAATCTTAATCGGTGCAATTAAAGTTGTCATCTGAAGCTGACATATTTAATTAATTATACAAAAATGTCAACAAATTGATTTTGCCTCCCCATCAGAGATATATAGTATAAAGACAACGGATTGGCTATTATAAAAAAAATTAATCAAAATTTTGGCAGATAAGAAAAGAGAAAGAAATCCACAAAATATTGAGCAATTGAACGGTATTTACAGTGAACGAAATTTACAGTGAAAATTTTGACTATTGTACTTGTCTTTCCAACAGCCAGCAGAGGCCAAGCCATCAATATCTGCCCTACAAGAGAGGTTACAGCATCCAGTGGACAGATTAGATCTCCTAACTATCCAAACAACTATCCAGCGGGAACAG